ATATGATGGTATATCATATGTGAAGTTTTATGAATCCTCACATGAACCTAATTAACCTTGATAGTGTAACATATACAGTGTATGGAACATATATAATGTATGTAACGTGTGACAGTATGTCATATGTGAGGTTCATCCACACATGAGATCTATCCTCACATATGATATATTCAAATTTATAATTTTTAACTTAACAAACTTAATTTTGAAATTTCCTATTATTTCATAATTTTTTCACATTATGTTTTTTATTCGAAAACTTAAGTACTTAAAATATTCAGAAATTGAGCAAAAACCAATATTCATATAAAATCTCAAAAACTTCTAATTACTTTAACAATTTTAATATCTACTATCTACTATTTTAATCTCTACAGTCAATTGTATGAATTTTATCAATTGTATCAACTTTCTGTATCTGCAATACACGAAGAGGTAAAATTCAAAATGTCTAACCCGATAAAAAAGTCAGCTACCACAAATTTTGTGTAAAAAAATAAATTTAGAAAGAATCGATATCCACATCAAACAACGAAAGCTAATTTTGTTTACAGATACTTTTCCACCGCTCCGTATATTGCAACTTCAACCTCGAACTTGACATCGGCGCTATTTTTACTTGGGCTTGACGCAAGCTAACTTTGCGTGTGATTGATCGTTTAATCTGGGATTAATTAACGGTTTACTTACGGTTGACGTGCCAAAATGCTGGATTCGACTTACCTGTAACAGAAAAAAAAGAATAAAAATTAAAAACTGTTTTAACGCAGCATAAATACTTCGCCTTTGTTTCGATATTTTCGTTCCCAGTTGCATAATCGAGCTTTTATGTTACCTTACGCAAGTGGGCATTGTACGAGAATAGATATTCCACGTAGCAGAAAATTTTGTGATAATGAAAGAACTTCATTATAAAAAAGGAAAATTTGTTTAAAAAATTTGAGACAGTGAAGAAAAATTCTTTAGTTGACTGCAGTCACACATTGATAAATTTTTTGTGTGCACTACAGACGTTGTTATAATATAACATTAACTTCATGTAACTTAATCTTGAAGTAACCTAACTTCAACTGAAATTAACTTAATATTAAACTAACCTTAACTCAATGTAACTTAATCATAAACTAATCTAACATTAACTCCATATAATTTAACCTTAAACTTACATAACTTCAACTGAAACTAAGTTAATATTAAACTAACCTTAACTCAATGTAACTTAATCATAAACTAATCTAACCTTAACTCCATATAATTTAACCTAACTTCAACTCAAATTAACTTAATCTTAAACTAACCTTAACTCAATGTAACTTAATCATAAATTAAACTAACTTTAACTCAACATAACTTAATATTAAAGTAACCTGAACTCAACGTAACTTAATCATAAACTAATCTAACCTAAATTGAAAGTAACTTAATCATAAACTAATCTAACCTTAACCCCATATAATCTAACTTTAAACTAACCTAACTTTAAGTCAACAAAACTTAATAGTAAACTAACCTTAATTCAATGTAACTTAATCATAAACTAATCTAACTTTAACTCAACGTAACTTAATATTAAAGTAACCTGAACTCAGTGAAACATCATCATAAACTAATCTAACCTAAATTCAACGTAACTTAATCATAAACTAATCTAACCTTAACTCCATATAATCTAACTTTAAACTAACCTAACGTTAAGTCAACAAAACTTAATAGTAAACTAACCTTAATTCAACGTAACTTAATCACAAACTAATCTAACCTTAACTCCATAAAATTTAACTTTAAACTAACCTAACTTCAACTCAAATTAACTTAATATTAAACTAACCTCAACTCAATATAACTTAATCATAAACTAATCTAACCTTAACTCCATGTAATTTAACTTTAAACTAACCTAACTTCAACTCAAACTAACTTAATATTAAACTAACCTTAACTCAATGTAACTTAATCATAAACTAATCTAACCTTAACTTCATGTAACTTAACGTTAAACTAACCTAACTCTAACTCAACCTAACTTAATCTTAAACAAACCTTAACCCAACATAACTTAATCATAAACTAAATGAACTCACAACCTCAAAAATTTAATAATTTCATCCAAAGAAGAGAAAACGATTAATCATTCTGAACAAATATGGCGTCTGGCACATAACCTCAAAAATAATTAATTTCATAACAATTTTAATTCATAACATAACAATTTTGTTATATAACAATTTTGTTAACTTCTAATACAAGTTTTGTATTTTCAAAAGAAAGAATACTTCATCCTCTCCTATGCCAGTTAAAATTCACCCGTTAAATGCGATGATACGCTAATAATGAAGAGGGTTCAATAAGCCCATAAACCATCCCCCGCATCATATTTCCAGGTGGCTTAAAGTCCTCCCGAGTCAGAAGTCATAAAACGAAGAATAAACCGGTGAACGAGGGTCGTTCATCGTTTACGAGGTTCAAAACTGCATTGTGCCCTCGCGTTTAACCGTTCGTTCAGCATTGTAGTTTCAATACATTCAAGCTTTTAATGGGAGATTTTAAATTCCCGCCAGATGCGGAGCGACGAGGTTGGTCCTTCTGGTATCTATTAGGTGATAACGTTATCAGGAGTTCGCGTATTCCGATACCGACCCACGGGTCGCGAATTTCCTGTTGTACCGACCCGCGGCTCGCAATTCGCGAAAGGACAGTGGCGCCTCGTCGCGGATCGCGAGCTAACTGTTTCGCGACTGCTGTGTGCGGAAAGGTTTCGGTCGAGAGACAAATTTTCAAAGGGACAAATTTTTAGTTGTTTAGGGAAAATATTGAAGACAGGGTTGTAGGTGATCTTTAGGGATTTATTGGTTTTTGGGATCGGTATTAAGCGATTTAGGGGATTTCAATATTTGGGATTTTGACATTTAGGGATTTTGGGGGATTTTGGGAGCTTTGTGATTTGGGAGAATTTGGGGAACTTTGTAATTTGGGGATTTTGGGGATTTTGGGAATTTTGTGATTTGAGGATTTTGGGGATTTTGGGAATTTTGTGATTTGGGAGAATTTGGGGAACTTTGTAATTTGGGAATTTTGGAGATTTTGGGAATTTTGTGATTTGGGGATCTTGGGGAATTTTGGGGAACTTTGTGATTTGGGGATTTTGGGGAACTTTGTGATTTGGGGATTTTGGGAATATTGTAATTTAGGGATTTTGGGGAACTTTGTGATTTGAGGATTTTGGGAAATTTTGTGATTTGAAGAATTTTGTGATTTTTCAGAACTTTGTGATTTGGGGGATTTTGGGGAACTTTGTGATTTGGGAATTTTGGGAATATTGTAATTTAGGGATTTTGGGGAACTTTGTGATTTGGCGATTTTGTAATTTAGGGATTATGGGAAACCTTGTGATTTGGGGATTTTGGGGAATTTTGAGATTTTGGAGAACTTTGTGATTTGGAGAATTTTGTGATTTTTGAGAACTTTGTGATCTGAGGATTTTGGGGAATTTTGTGACTCTGGGAAACTTTGTGATTTCAGGATTTAAGTGTTCCTTGAAATTTAGGAATCTAGAGATTTAGTATTTAGAAATTTAAATATCTAGGGATTCCAAGACGTAGAACTTGTGAATCTAGGGATTTGAGGACGTAGTAACTTGTTAATCTAGGGATTTCAGATTGTAGTAACTTGTGAATCTAGGGATTTAAGGAGCCAGTAACTTATGGATCTAGGGATTTGTGGACGTAGGACTGTATGGAGCTAGAAATTTCAGAACATAGGATTTTATGGATATAGGGATTTACAGATGTAGAAATTGATGAATCTAGCGATTTCAGAAAATAGGAAATTGTGAATCTAGGAATTTTTGACGCAGGAATCTAAATTTAGGGATTTGAGGACGTGGAAATTTGTGATATAGAGATTTAGAACTTAGGAATTTGTGAATCTAGGGAATTGTGATCATAGAAATTTGTGATCTAGGGATTTAGAGTTAGGAATTTGTGAATCTAGGGAATTAAGATAATTGAAACTTGTGATCTAGGGATTTAGGGCTCAGCAATTTATGATCTAGGGATTTCTATGTCTAGAAATTTACAAACCTAGGGAACTAATATCCCAGGAATTTTGAAGTTCAGAAAATTGGAAATTAAAAAATGTAGAAATTCAGATATTTCCAAACTTAGAAATTTTAGAATTTCTCAGAAATCCTAGGGAAATTTAGGAACCTAAAATTTCAGTAATTTTGATATTTAGTAATTTACAAAATTAACTTAAAAATTCTGAAATCTAGTAACTTACAAATTTAAAAATTTGTACAGAAGGTCCTTTCAACCCTAAATCTCATAAATCCCCAAAAACTCCCTCCACCCCTAAGCCTCCAAAACTTCCCTGCATCCTTAAACTCCCCAAAAATTTCCCTAGAAAAACTCCCAAGAAAATTTCCCGAAAACTCAAACTCCACTTACAACAGAAAACCCCCTTACAACAGAACTCTCAGAAAACAACCCTCCTCTCTGGCCGCCGTTCCCGAACCCCGTACCAATTAACTTGATATTCGCTCGTGAAAAGCTCGGCCAAAAGAGGTCGAGAAGAAGCAGGGGAGTAGCGTAGAAATAAAAAAAAAAAAATTGCGATGATGAATCGAGGTCGTTCGCCGTTCCACTTTTCCCGTTGTCGATATTAAAAATTAGCGCGGCTGTCCCCTTCGCGATCGAAAAGACCGATTACCGAGGTGAGGTTAGGTCCGCGGCATAAAGGGGGTGGCAGATGCGTCGGACGTCGCGATTTTCCTCGTTGTAGGCCTCGGTGTTGTGGTTGCGCGATCAAAGAGAAAGGACGAGTTCTATTGGTCTCTGTTCAGCCCGTTTCGCCGTCGCCGTTGCACCGCGGGGTGGTCTTTCTCGATCTTTCTGTGCGGACGCATGCGTCACTGATCTCTCAAGGCCTTCGCGCATTAACGCTGAGTGCTGTTTGCTTCGTCCCACTTTCCTTAACGCCCGGTCAACGACCCGGTAGGTAGGTGAGTTTCCAAGGTGCACTAACACGTATGAGATTCTATTCCGTGCGAGACAGTGTCTCTCAAACGGGACTCTTTGCTACCCTGATTCTTATGGAGTGTTAGACCTGGCTTGATGGATTTGGATCAGAAGCGCATGGACACTGATCTATCGCAATTTGGCCGAACGTGAATGGTAGGTTCAGGACGTGGCCATAAATGAAGTACTGTTAGCTAAATCTACCTGGGACGTTAGAGTCAAGTCTTGTTAAGAGGGGCAAGCTCTTGTTAAGAGGGCAATTTAGAATCTTAAAAAATTACAAAATTTTTCTTTTCTATAAAATGTTGGTGTAACATCTTAAAAATATTGTCTGAAAATTTTCAAGTGAAATACGCCCTTTTGAAGTTATGGCCGATTAGCGCCGCGGGTATACACGCGTTCAGTGCGGAGGACTGAAACTTTAAACGCGTTTTTCTCAAAACTACGTTCTTAAAATTGCCGTGGCTGATAACTCAAAAACTAGTTTAGCAATCGCGCTCAAATTTTTCCACATATCCATGACAATACTATCTAACATATGAACCTAAATGTATGAAATAAATTGAACATTAAAGTCCTTTCTATTGCAAAACGTTGCAACAATTTTCAATAAAATTCAAAGTTTTTCTTTAAACGCCATTTCTTCAATTTTACATATTTTGCACGTTTCTGAGGTTTATCTACTAACTGTGAATGTTAGTTTTCGAA